TTGCCCAAACTGCTCTAAAGCTCTTGCTTGTCTGATAAGCCTCTGCCATTGCACAGGGCATGGTGTTGATGTTCAGATACCTTGTGCTGACTGCAGCTTCACTTTGCATTTTCTCTCCTTCGCTGCACTAAGCAAAGATTTCAAGGTCCAAGAGATTTTCACAGAGGCACTGCAGGTGATGGTAGCAACCACTGTCTGGAAACATTAGCAAGGAAAATATGCTGCAGTGGAATCCAAGGTTTGATTTATGTGCCCCTTTCAGATAAAGGAGGTTGGGATATGTTATGGGTCAACTGAATAGCGTGGTGTCATTCGTAAGAGAGATCCCAGAAAATTTTCCATTCACAATTGCTTCAGACTCCCTTGGCATTGATGCTCTCCCAATATCTTGTTGCCAGAAAGCTCCTTTGGCTAATGCTGGCTGCTGGCAGATGTGTTTTCCATCTACACTGCAGTGTTAGAAGTACTCTGTCCTGTGTGGAAGAGGTCCCTGTTGCCTTTAGACACCCTGGCATGATGAATGCTTCAAGAACACTCCAGACCCTCTTTTTAAGGCACATAATACCTTTGTACTGGGTATGTTTCAGCTTGCAGTTTACTGTGAAATTGCCCTTACACAAGCTCAGTCTAGGTAAAAGCAAAATCAAGGGTCTACTGGGAAGATACAAAGAGACAGCTCTTTTACCAAGGCTTAGAAGGACAGAGGTGACAGGAAGGAAAGACCAATCATGAACTACTTGAGATGATATTTTAATGGCAGTTTTTGTTGATACTCAGAACTAAAGCTGTAATTTTTTCCCTAACCCACGTGGGCATGTGTCTGACACTGGCACACAGCCAACATCTTTGTATGGTGTCATAAGAGGAAATGTTGGCATGAGGAAGAAGGTTCACCTTTACATCCCACTCTCTTCATGGGGTCTTCCTCTCTTTCACCATGATTTCATTCTTATTTTTCCTGTTTCCCCTCCTTACCAATGATTTCTTACTTCTTGGTAAGAAGGATTTCTTACTTCTTCTTGGTCCAGTTTGAAAATCTTGATTTCTCTTGCACTAGATCATGCCCTTTGAAAATGCTCCTGTCCTTTTGATGAGGTCAACTTCATTATAACTTGTATGCCCAGACAGAGAGCAGGCTCCTTTCAGGATTACACCATTGCTTGGCTAAGCCCTGGACATAACAGCAGCACACTGTGAGGACAGACACATCTGCTATATGGGGCAAGGTTCAGATACAAAGGAGTGGGCTTTGAAGTTCTGAACCTTGTCTTTCACACAAATGTGAATTTATGTGTGTGGGACCAATGTCTGCAGGGCCAAAAAAATGATCTTCTGGAAGCTGGGCATTATAGTAATTAATTGCTTTGGAATCATGGTATGTGTGGAGGTGAAAGATACCGTGACTTTACTGGTAAGTGCTTTCGGTGTTGGCAACTGTTTCCAGTTTCCAGGGGAAACAGTGGGTAGAGAAAAGGAACAAAAGAGAATTATTATTTTGTTCTTGCTCAAATGTGGTTTCAGTTGACCTAAACCACACCTAAACGTAGTCTTGCATATCAGTTTAACTAGATTGGTTTGTATCCATGCCTTCCATTAAAACAACATACACATCTGTGTATCCAAGACTGTAGTATGGTGTGGATATACTTGCTGGGCTCGGTGCCATCTCTAGGGGTATTTGGCTGACTTTGTAAGAATGACAGACCAAGTTATAGCTTCACAAAAGTCCAGACTGCATTTGGCCCATACTTAGTGCTGCCAGCAAAGATGCATAAGAAATATAATTCAGAGCAGAGTGGAGTTGTTTGCCTTCTGAAGAGAATGAGCTGAGATGGGCCTTGCTTTGTATGTTTTCCCATTCCACTTAAGGGTGTAAACATTATTCTGCAAATGATCAGGAACTTCATGCTTCTGCATTATGCTCTGTTGCAGCAGAAATGTGGAAGTGTTGAAGCAGACATGTGTCCCATGCATGTGGTTGACATTGGTAACAAAACATCCTTGAAAGAGAGTCTTCAGGCTTGGCATTTGCTCCTGTTGATGGACATCTTACCTCCTTGCCATTTTGAAGTTACAGAGAAAAAGAATAGTCTTTTTTACTTTGTTAACTACTGTGTTGTCACTTCAGGGTTTTTCTGTTGGCTTGCAAATAGGGATAATTCAAAACAGGATCACTTCAGTCCCTCTTTGGGGGTGTCCTGAAATGTGCAATTCTCAGTTTTGGAACCACTGAGCAATTCTTGCAATTACTAATTCGCAATCTCTGCTTATTTTTACTCTGCGGAGCCAAAGCCTTGGTTATGGGTATGACTCAATCATAGCACCTTAGCAGATGAATGAAGTCAAATGCTTGAGGTAACTGGTGTGTGCACTCCTCTCCTACATAGATTTTGAAGGTTAGAGGAAGGGTAAAGGAAGACTGAAATGAAGACATTGCATTTATTAATTTATTCAACATATTTTGTTTCAAGCATATGATTAAATACTCATACATATATACATATGCATTTTTACTTGTTCTTCAGGCACTGTCAGCAAGTCTCTATCTGCAGTTTGTTCACTAAATATGTGGTGTAAAGTACCAAGTGCTGGATTACTGTGGGTTAAATACATCTCACTTTGTGCTGTATCTGTTTTGTGATTATATGACCTCTATATTTTGGTCTTCCATAACTAAAAGATGATGTATGAACTCAGCTGTCTGCCTGCCCTCCCTGTCAGAGGTTGAGCTCTCTAGGGCAGGACAAACAGAAAAATGTACCTCTGTAGTTGTGTACCTCAGTTCAAACTCACTTTTGTCAGCAATTTCAACTAAAATAAACTGCAATGAAACTACTTGTGGAGAGCCAGAGGTTCCCTTCTGCTGACCCTGCTGCAGTATTGACAACCTGTAACAGAGAGACAGGGAGAAAGGCTGGAGGAGGTACCATCTTAACTTACCACAACCAAATTAGCCCAAGATCTGTCTGAGAATAGCCAAGTCTGTCTGAGACTTCGAGTGAACCAGGGAAGTGTACCCTTTAAAATAAGTACACCAAAAGCATTTGAACTCTGGAGCTAAAATGCATAAGCAAGTTTGAGAAGTTCAGTATTGTCAAGAATTAAATACAGAGTCTATGATGATGTTTGAAATGTCAAATTTTCTCATTAAATTTAATGAGATTTGATATAATGCTTCTCTTATATGCTTCTGAATGACTGACAAAAAGAGTCAGTGGCTTAGCAATAAACAGTAACCAATAATCTTTCCTCCCTGTGGCTGTTAATGGGAATGACTACTTTGACTTAGCAACACAGAAACATGAATTTTATTAATCTTGCCTGGGTCAACAGCAACCACTCCATGCTGTCCTCACTCAAGGCTGGTTTTTTTCTTTTTTTTTTTTTTTTCCTGGATTCGGCTTTAAAAAAATTCAACCCCCCACAAATATTATTAATGTCTCAAGGCTACATTTTCACTCCGCATTCTGTTTCATCCTAGATGTTTTAGAAAGAGTCAGATAGAATCTCACATTCTCACCATCATATTCTGACACAGAACCTGTCCTTCCAGTGCATCTCTTAACTATTACCATCACCTATTCTCTTTTCATCAAGCAGCACTGCATTCAGTTCCTTCCCTGCTTTGCATCAGACCTAAACTGGTCTCAGACCTAGACTGGTCTCAAAATTCTGCTGTTTCTTTTACCCACAAGGTGATACAAGAAAACACTGTCCCTTATTTTTGATCTTCAGTGTGCAATCTCTCATTTGGTTAAATTTCATCTGCCTACTCTAACATCCTCTTTTCTACTCCCTTTGCATCTCCTCTGTCATATTCTAGCTTGTCCAAAATGCTGTCTTCCCAGTTCCTCTGGTTCTGCTTATTCCCTGGTCAAATCTCTTCATCAGCACCTCTTTGCTCCTTTTACAAGAGTCTTCTATGCCAGTTGCCCCAGTGCAGAAAGGAGATCTCATACAAAGAGACTAATTCAAATGAAAATAAAAGATTTCACACCAGAAAACGGAATTGCCTTAAGCCCAGAACTGATTTTCCCGGTTGTTCAAGGAGGCTTCCTGTAACTCAGAATGCTGCCTATAAATAATCTCAAATTCAAAATTGTGCCATCAGCTTCTTCATATCACTTACTTTCAGTTTGCTACCATTCTTGGCACTGTTACGCAGTATTATTTTCCCAGGTCAGAACATGTGAGCATCCCTGCTGTGAAAAATGGTCAATTTCATCATTCATAACATAAATATTGTATAATGTGTTGATACTACCAACATGCATATATATCAATATTTTGTTAACACCAGTGGTACAACATATGGAATCCCTTTTAAAGTTAAAGCACATGATTGAAAATCCTGACACAGCCCCTTTCTGCACTCTGTGGAACAGGCTATAGCTTCAAACTGTGTTCCTTCATTTTAGTGTTACTTCTGGCTTAAATCAGTCCTGCTGCACCATGAGCCAGCTGAAAAAAAATGTTGAGTGGTGCAGAAGTACAACATGGTTTCAGCCACTTCCTGCCACAAGCCCCTGAGCAGTTGATATAACATATTTGCAGCAGAGCCATTCAGCTCACTGAATGGTGGTCTTCCTGCAGACCAAGAGAGACGAAAAATGACTTCCCCCCCTCCACCAAAAAAAAAAAAAAAAAAGGACTAGATAAACATGCCTGGAAACGGCATATCTCGACTGATGGAGCGACGCTTTCTTGCAGCTTTATCTCATGCCTTGTGTTCCTTTGAGACAGGCTTGCTTCCCTCTCCCATTTTAAAAGGGAATAAAACCTCCAATTGAAAAACTAAGTAGTAACAAAAAAGCAAAAGTAAAGACCAAGGGATGCAATTAATAAAGTGAGGACTCTTGCCAAGAGAGGCTGAGTTTTCCAGCGGCCATTTTACCACCCTTGTTCCTTTATTAAAATAAGCTGGTTTTTTAATGAGACCATGTAATTTTGCAGATGTGATTCTGGGCTCTGAACATCCTCCCATGTGTTTTGTTTTGCAGGAGGCAGTACAGGAACCTCCCCGACCACCTCCAGCACAGGGACCCCATCACCATCTGCTTCATCTCACCTTCTCTCTCCATCCTGTTCTCCTCCAGCCTTTCATCTGGCCCCCAACACTTTCAATGTTGGCTGCCGGGAGAGTCAGCTTTGCAACCTCAACCTCTCTGATTATCCCCCATGTGCCAGAAGCAATATGGCTGCATTGCAGAGCTACCCAGGGCTGAGCGACGGTGGGTACAATCGGCTGCAGAGCA